TATATATTTATATTTTATATGTATGTTTATATACAATAAAATCTTACTTAAAATTTTTTAAATATACCTAAATCTACCAATATAATCTCATTTAACCATTATACATTGTTTCTTTTAAGAAATAATACATACCGGGCGGCGAAGCCGCCCACATCTGCATCCTCTAGTTAAGTCCTATAATTTAAGTGCGTCGATCATTTGACTTCGTATTATAAAATTTGTGTGAATGATATATGACATATTCTCTGATTGATATAGTTACGATTATTAATTTTTTATTAAATTTATTTTATTTGGCGGCCAATTCTGATTGGTTAAAAAGTATTAGAATATTAATTAATATATGCTAAATGACTGGTCATTTGTTATTGGGGTTATTTCAGGTCATTTACCATTTCTGTTGCCCATTAATTCAAAAAAATATGTTTTTTATATATATAACACCCTAAGCATGTTTTTAAAATAGTGATCCAAATCGTTGACAACTAGTTGACTAACAGATTGAAAAATTTTTAACCAACTAATCGTTGATTGATTATCTACATAATAAGTTTCAAATGTTAAATTTCTTTAGCCAATCAAAAAACATGCGATTATTTATTTGACCAATAAAATTTATAAAAGACACGTAATTAGTTGCAACTAATCGGCAACTAAGTTGACAACTAATGGATTTGAAAATTTTGCCCGATTTGGTACACTGTCTTAAACTTTGTTTTTAAAATTTTTTAATGCCAATTTTTATGGGAAAAATGTTTTTTTTAATTCTTTATATAATCTTTAATATTTTGCAAAATGAAAGGAATTTAAATACAGTAGTCTTTATAAAATATTTGCTAAAAATTTTATTGTTTTAAAACAAGTAAATACAATTTTAATTACATAGTCTTATTTAATAATAGCATTTGGATTTTGAGCTTAAACATATATGAAATTCAAAATTACATAATTAAATAAATTTATACCCTTAAAGCAATTAAACTAAATGCCAATATAATGTGAGTAATAAAATTTATTTATAGATGCAGTAATTTAATGATGCTTACCAACAGGAATTTCAACAGAAGAAATTGGTTGACTTGGCAAGACTGCTAATATAGCATAATCAACTTTAATCAAAAGTCAATTTACTGATATAGTGTAATTTTATAAAATAAATACCTTTAATTGCATCTGATATTCTTTGTGTGCTGATAAGTTTGCAAATATATATATGTTTTGGTGATTCAATTGGTAATTCTTTTGATATTTTGTCTGCATCTAAGAATTGTTTTTTAATTTCATTTGCATCATCTGAATTTTCCATGCTTTCATTCCATTCTTTAAGTTTCAGATAAATATCATAAGCAGTAGGCCGTTTTGCTGGATCAGAATCCATGCATCGATTAGCAAATTTAATATAGAAATTTGGTGTTCCAGGAGCAAATTTTGGCCGCATTCCTTTACAAATTTTTATTGCAAGGCCAATATTCAATTCATAACCATCAAAAGGTCTTTGTCCAGTTGACATCTCTGACATGATAACACCGAAGCTATAAATATCGGCAATTGACGTAAACTTTTGACCTTGTAAAACTTCTGGGGCTACATAAGGCATGACCCCATAAACATTTCTTGAATCATGCTCATCTTGTTTTTTAGACAATCCTAAATCTGAAATATATGAGATTATATCTCCATCGATCGTTTGGTTTAGTAAAATATTACCACTGTGAAAATCATTATGAATAAGTCCTGCTTCGTGAATTCGAAATAAATCATAAGATATGGCTACAAGTTGCTTTAACTTATTTTTCCACGTAAATTTTCTAAAATGTTTAGTTAGAAAATCATGAAGGTTTCCTCTATTAGCGTATTGATATACCATCATATATTGACCTTTCTCTGTATCCCGAGTCAATCCATATACTTCAAGTGCGCTACCCTCTAACCTACATTTCATGTGACTTTTAAACTTGAGATAATATATGAGTAAAGTTTTAAATGGTTAAACGACTATATGTCATAAAATTTCAATTAAATTAATTAAATTATTTTAACTTACTTCAGATAAGAAACTAGAGCTCGCTTGAGAGCCAGGTAATGTTTTAAGAGCGACATCACAGGACTTATTGCGATATCGTACATAACCAATATTATGATCGCCTTCGATTATTCGATTACCATCTAACCAAGTAGATAAATAAACTTTACCAAATCCTCCTTCGCCAATAATTTTAATATTTTTTAGTCTGTCAAATTGAATCCATTCAATTACATTATCATATGTCATCGCTTTAAGTTGAAAACTCTTAATGCAATCATCAACGTTCTTATCACCACTTGTCCATCCTTGAGTTGTTTCCCATGGATCACACAATTGACACCAGGCTGGACTAGTATTGTATCGTTTACAATGTTCACACATTCCATTGATGGACTTTCTTTTATCATTATAAAAATCAAGTACAAGCATATATTGGCCAGTTTCTGTATTTTGGGTTATTCCATATATTCTATGTTTTCCTATTTGTATATAGTTTTTAAGCTTATAAGAAATATATATGTTAATTAATTTTATGCTCTACAATTTAAACAAACTAGTTAATTATAAATAGTTTTTATTTACATTCTCTATAAGATCCAAAGCTCTTTCTTGAGGATTGCGCAAGTTCATGAGATCAACGAATGATATAGTACGTGACTGTGTATAATTTCCACATTCACCTTTAATCGTTCTTATACCACTCCTCAAGGTTGCTACAAATACTATATCTGAATCTTTGATTTCTTGAACAGATTCTTTAGCTTCCAAATCAAATTCATCATTAAATTTCTTAATTTTTTGTATATTAATTAGTTTATTGTATGGAATCCATTCAATCACTTTCTCATATTCTGTTGCTTTTATTTGAAATTCTTTGATAATATTATCAATATCATGATTTCCACTTGTCCACCCTTGGGTTGCTTTCAATGAATCACACAACTGGCACCACGCAAGGTTAGTGTTGGGTCGTTTACACTGTTCATATGTTCCATTAATAAAATTTCTTCTAACAAAATAAAAATCAAATACAAGCATGTATTGACCAGTTTCTGTATTTTGAGTTATTCCATATATTTTATATTTCCCTGCTTTCATGTAATTTTTAAACTTAAGAAATATATATTAATTAATCATGTATCCTATAACTAAGCAACAAATTAATCAAATATAAAATGATTCTTTAACTTACATCTTCTATAACTGTTTGAGAATAGCGCAATTCCATTAGATTAACACACGACGTAGTACGTGATCGGTTATAATTGCCAGATTCATGTTTAACAGTTCGTATACCATTTTCCCAGGTTGCTAATAATAATTTTGCTTCTTTGATTTCTTGAACGGATTCTTTAATATTAATTAATTTGTCAAATGGAATCCATTCAATTACTTCCCAATAATTTGTAGCTTGTCTTTGAAGTTCCTTGATGGCGTTATCAATCTC